AAAAAAAAAAAAAAAAGACTTTTGGATGAAAATGTCTGACATGCAGATGCCATTCTGCTTGGTCCTTGCCTTTTGCCTTTTCCTTGAGAATCTGTTCTCTGCTCAGCATCTCGGTTCATCGGGACAAGTAAATCCTGGCTCCTTAAAAGCTGGCAAACAGAACTCTTGCCTCTGAGGATATTTAAATCTGTCTTGGCTCATGCTGGTTTCCTCCTGGGTGTTGAACAGAAATGATGCCTTCCAGCCTCTCTGAAGTAGAGCTGCAGGAAAGACTCGTGATGGTCTGATTCTGACAAAACGATCTTCATAAATCGCAGACGTGGTGGGTGGTGGTCACAGCTAACCGTGCCTCAGGCTCTCCTGCTCCGGTTTTAGGTTCCAACTATTTAGGTTGTTTCTCCACCTCTCTCTTCCTTTTCTTTCTCAGTTTTAATTAACTGAGGATATTGACCTGATATTTTTTCTCTGTCATTTTCCCAATCCTTGCAATTTTTTTCCTGGTAGTTCTAACAGACCATCTGTCAAAATTTTGCTAGTTTCACAGCAGTTCCATGCTATTTTTTTCCTCTCTCTTTTAAAAATTATATAAATGATGAACAAATAAATTCTCATTGCAAATGGTTCAACAGATACAAAAATTTATAGCATAACACGTTGGGGTTCCTGTTCACCGCACTCCCATTACTAATTCCCTCTACAGAGAAACCGCCGCTGTTAATTTGATTCGTACCCTCTAATTCTTTTTCTATAAAGTTTATGGCCAGGCGAGGTGGCTCACGCCTGTAACCCTAGCACTCTGGGAGGCTTAGGCAGGCGGATTGCTCAAGGTCAGGAGTTCAAAACCAGCCTGAGCAAGAGCGAGACCCTGTCTCTACTATAAATAGAAAGAAATCAATTGGCCAACTAATATATATAGAAAAATTAGCCAGGCATGGTGGTGCATGCCCGTAGTCCCAGCTACTCGGGAGGCTGAGGCAGGAGGATTGCTTGAGCCCAGGAGATTGAGGTTGCTGTGAGCCAGGCTGACGCCACAGCACTCACTCTAGCCTGGGCAACAAAGTGAGACTCTGTCTGAAAAAAAAAAAAAAACCAGACGTTTTATTTACTGCTGAATATCCAGTATCTAAATTAGGGCGGGGCACATAGCAAGCACTCAAGCAAGCACTCCATTCAACTCATGTTGAATTGCATGAAATAATATTGGCATTTTAATGTAATAATATCCATTATATTAAGAGATTAAGGAAGAAAAATGTTTATTTTAATAAACGATAAAAAGCATTTGATAAAATGTAACACACATCCCTGATTTCCAAGTGAGAACTAGAACAAAAACCCTGGGAATAGAAGAAGGTTTCTTAGTTTAATAAAGAGAATTAACAGGGCCAGGTGCAGTGGCTCACGCCTGTAATCCTAGCACTCTTGGAGGCCGAGGCGGGTGGATCAGTCCAGGTCAGGAGTTCAAAACCAGCCTGAGCAAGAGTGAGACCCTGACTCTACTAAAAATAGAAACAAATTAATTGGCCAAGTAAAAATATACAGAAAAAATTAGCCGGGCATGGTGGCGCATACCTGTAGTCCCAGCTACTCGGGAGACTGAGGCAGGAGGATCCCTTGAGCCCAGGAGTCTGAGGTTGCTGTGAGCTAGGCTGACGTCATGGCACTCACTCTAGCCTGGGCAACAGAGTGAGACTCTGTCTCAAAAAAAAAAAAAGAAAACATACAGCTAAAAAGGATTCAAGGCATCTATGATGACTTTTCCTCTTCTTGATTCCTGGCAACTATTTCCAACGTCACAACCACGAAATCAATCTCCCCAAATATCTCCACTTCTGAAGTCTTGTTCTCTAACATTCATTTCTCCAACTACCACCTCTTATTCTTTCAGCTCGATTGCTCAGGTCACTCAGCTCTTCCACCGACGAAGCATCCAGTGCCTCGGCCACAGCACATCTCAGCCCTCCCGTCCTCCCTCCCTGCTTGCTGACGTGGGTCCCATGCTCCAGCATTTTAGTGACTCCCTTGCGGGTCATCCTGCCTCCCCTTTTCCCCTCCCCACCACCGGCATTCACAAGACTAAAAGGAAGGTGGTCAGGGCACCATAGTGGCGAAAGTCTTCCTTTGCCCCTGAGCAGTTGGACGTTTTGGACCACGCAACCCAGGCAAAGACTTTCACTTTAAACTCAGGGGCACAGCTTCATGTGGACACTCGGTTCTATCTGTGGATCCCACTGTGCCTCCTACTGGCCAACTGCGTTTCATTCCTACCACTCTCCCCCAAATAGTCTGCACCCCTCCTGCGTGTCCACTCTCCAGATGATGTCCTCACCTCACGGCTCAGTCGGAAACCAGAAACCATCGGTCCTCAACCTCCTCGTCTTCCTGACACAAAACTCCACATTGCCTATGTGGGCCCTCGGGTTTTCTTTCTTCTGTCGGTTACAAGGAAACCTCTCCCTTCTGTCACCAAAAGAATGATGGACAGGTACGGTACAATAAGACCGAAGACGTTATTTCTTAGTCGAGAGATTTCCCTGTCTATGCTTCTAATTGAAATGGAATCGTGTTTCTTTCTTTCTTTAAAAATTTTGTAGTGTAATTGGATTCTTTGTGGGGGCTGGGATCTGTGTAGGTAGATCTGTTTTCTCTCTCTGGCAACTGGGCAGTTGTCATAGACTGCAGGATTGTGTGCAGCCATTGGGTGTTGTGAGAATCTGGATACATTGCACTAAAACTTTCTGTGGCTGTGATTTGTTGAGTTAAAAAAAGTCTTGGACTACAGGTGTCTTAGATAGGCCAAGGTGTCTGGGAATTGCATGTAATGTCATTAGAGGAATATCCCAAACGAACTTGAATATGGAAACATGATATAATTCAATTGAGCTTTTGTCTTTTATGAAGTGGTTCTAGGGAGTACCGCAGAGTGAATAAAAGAGTTATTCAAAATAAACTTTCTAGGAAAATAATTCTCTATTCCATTTTATATAGTTTTCTAATGAACCTGGCTATAATTTAGTTTATTTTCAGATGATTTTTGCCTGGTTTGGATAATTGGGGTTGTGCAACATTGAAATAATAGTTCTGTATCCAAGGACTTCTGAAATTGGAACTCAGCCCTGAGACAGCCTTAAAATAAATGAATATGCAAACAAGCAAGCATATTGTTTGTTTGGCACAAGCATAAGAAAAAAAACATAAAGGAAAAATCAGCTCAAGAAAAGAAATCTAGAGAAGCATTGTTAAAAAAAAAAAACAAATAAATTTGGAGAACCAATAACTTGCCCGTCGCATATTATTATCTTCCATTACGTGTCAACTGACTGATTCTGCTCCCCAGGCTGGGCTGGATTTGTGGCTGGGATTCTCAGGGAGGATGGGGTTTCCTTATCTTTTTAAGACGGTTGGAGCTTCTGGGGGTGGCTATCGGGGAGCAAGGAGAGCTCTCTGGACTTGCATATATTTGAGGCAATTCCAAAACACCTGGGCAGAGGCTCAAAAATTAAAATTAGAGCAATCCTAAGAATTTCAAGTTTTTGGGTACAACACAGTAAAGATAATGGTTCAGTATGACAATGTATGTAATGCAGCAGATTAAAATTAACATGAACTAGAGAGTGAAAAATAACCTCTCTCAACAGAGCAAGACAAAAGGGGTTGAAGAAGAGACAGATTGAAAACATTGACACGAATTCATTGTTCTTTTTAGAAGAAGATTGCTGTCACCGCGGCAAGCCGAGCAGCATGTTCTCTGATGTCATTCTTCTTCTTCCCATCAGTCCTGCAGGACGGTCTCATATACCCTAGTGCCCGATTTGACTTTTTCTTTTTTCTCCAATATTGCTCTGGTTAAAAAGAACTAAGGCTTTTCAAAATACCTGATCCTATGTCTTAGAGAAGGGAAAAATCAAGATGGGCCTGGAACTTTTGTTTTTTTCCCCAGAAAACAAAGATACTTTCAGAGACACCTGGGTATCTGTTTATTCATTTATTTTCCCTGCCCAGCTGGGAAGCACCTGCATGTTTAGCAGGTAAAAAGGCAGCCCGGAGAGAGAGCTATTAGTGACAAAGACAATTCCATCAGGCACCATGTGTCGTGATTACCATGGTGCCCTTAAAGTTGCCAATTCCTACAATTCTTCCAACTTTTTTTTTTTAATCTTTAGCCTAGGCATTCTGGAATTTCTTCCAACATATGCAGGTCCAGACAAGTCTCCCTAGGGAACAAAACCACAAATGCACCATGGGCGGCCAACATGATAAGTAGAATCAATAGACAATTAGAGATGATGATATCAGAGAAGCAAATTATTGGTTCCCAAAGTTGTTTTCATTTTGAATGCTTTTCTAATCTTCTCCTTTTGAGCTGACTTTTCCCTTCTGCTTTTTCTTATATTTGTGCCATCATTTGTTTGTTCGTTTGCACAGTCATCTATTTTAAAGCCAGTTTTAGGGCTGAATTCCAGTTCCATAAGCCAAATTAGTAGAAAACCCTTGACTCTATGTTGATAGTTAAAAAAAATCAAGGTAACACAAAGCATGCTAAAAGGGCACTTTAATTCATTCATGTTTGCAAAATTGCCTACAAAAAATGCTGGGATTCAGCTATCCAAATTATGTGAGATTTTTTAACCTGTAGGTTAAAACTACAAATGTGAGCTTCTTTTCTCAAGGGAGTGAAGAGACACATAAAAAATGAGAATATATTATAGAAAGAGGGATGATGCTAAGTGGATGAACCCAACAGAAAACTGGCTAGAAGACTATAAAACCAAGGACAATGTATTGGAGAATGAGAAAGTAAACCTAAGTAAAAGATAAGGAGGAAAAAAATTAATATAATATAAACCCCAAAAGATTATTTTTTATGAGAAGATAACATTTAATGATTGTGTTAAGCAGACAAATCTAGGATTTTTTTTCTTTAGATCTAACCATCTAGGATAGGATTTTTTTTTTTTAAGAGACAGAGTCTTGCTCAATTGCCTAGGCTGGAGTGCAGTGGTCTGATCATAGCTCACTGTAACCTTGAACTCCTGGCCTCAAGCGATCCTCCCTCCTTGGCCTCCCAAGGTGCTGGGATTACAGGTGTGAGCCACTGTGCCAGGCCTGTAATTGAAGATGGAGCAAAGAAAGAGTTAATTATAAGAGAAACTGACGTTAAAGTATGACATAAAACATATAAATTGTATTTTAGAAATAAATGCACATAACTATTGAGGATAAACAGGGAGAAAAGCAATAATAAAGCCAAAATCACCGTGGAGAAGCTCAGGAACCTGGCTGCGGGCCAGTCGCGGGCAGACTTGCCGTTGAGACGTGTAGGAAAAGCCGATTTACTTCATACCTGTCAGAGTTGAAAGCTGCGGAGGAGAGGACACATCTGGTCGTGTCCAGGGCGTGAGGGAAGTGGTCTCTACCCAGTTTCCCGCCACGGTGCCTCTCTGTGAACGTGTACAGTCAGAAGGACGAGAACGTTTGCTTTGCAAGTTTGGCTGAGCATACTGACGTCTCTACACTATTTAGTAGGTGTGTATAAATAGTGGTCCTGCTGCTCCAATGTGATTACAGTGATTCTCCAGATATTAAGACCCAGTTCAAGCTGATTCAGTCTTTTCCATGCAGTTCTGGCCATTGTTTCCATTTCTACAACTAGTATTAAACACAAATTATCTCATGGATGTTAACTACCCAAGAGAAGTGCTGAGCGATTTTTTATCTGGTGACTAAAATACATATTGAAAACCAATCAGTGTAAATTAGTAACCATACAGTACTTTAGAAAATGTGTTTTTCTTCCGGATTTTTTGGGGGGCTTGGTTGACTTGAGCAATGCCCTGCTTCCTCCATTCGCCTGTCTAGATGAGCGAGGCAGGTTGGTGAAAACCATGTGTGGGTGAGGCTTCAGGTGAGGGGAGAGCTTTGCTGCAGTCAGTAGGCTCTGTTCTCGTTTGGAGGAATGCAAGCCAAATATAATTGCTTTGATTCACTGGTCTCTGGCTGTATTTCTTGCATAAAAAACAATAACAGAAGGCAATTAAACAGATGAACAGACTGAGCAAAACTGTGGTGCACTAACCCTGAAAGAGAACACACCTAAAATGCCTTTCTCGTGATTGTGAGCTTTCATAAGTTTGCTCTCAAAAGGTGTTGCAGATGTGTCTTGCACACAAAAACGGTTTGATTTCATAAAAAAACAAAAAAAAAACAAATCAAACATGTACGTATAAATCCCAAGAATACATTCGTGAAACTGAAGTACCTTTTCATTCTTCTGGTAATTAGGATATTTTTCCTTTTGTGTGATTCTTGGTCGTTGCTCACCAAGTAAACTCGACGGAGATTTTTCTGTTTTTAATGATTACATAAATTATTCACCTGGCTGTAAAAGCCAGGAAATAAGGGTTATAGGTCAGAGTCACGAGGTCGTGAATACTTAACAACAACGTGTCTGAACTCTAGTTTGGCTCAGGAACGTCCAGGCTCAGAGGGTCAGAGACCAAGTCCCAGAACAGCTGGAAACTGGGCGGGCGGCAGGCTGAGCCGTGCTTGGCAGATGTGTCCACAGACCCCGTTTCCGTGTGCCTCAGTCCCAAGCTCCACACATGTTCGTCCCTAAACCTGCCTAGATTCTGTTTTCTTTTTTTTTTGAGACAGAGCCTCACTTTGTTGCCCAGGCTAGAGTGAGTGCCGTGGCGTCAGCCTAGCTCACAGCAACCTCAAACACCTGGGCTCAAGCAATCCTCCTGCCTCAGCCTCCTGAGTAGCAGGGACTACAGGCATGCGCCACCATGCCCGGCTAATGTTTTCTATATATATTAGTTGGCCAATGAATTTCTTTTCTATTTATAGTAGAGACGGGGTCTCGCTCTTGCTCAGGGTGGTTTCGAACTCCTGACTTCAAGCAATCTGCCCTCCTCGGCCTCCCAGAGTGCTGGGATTACAGGCGTGAGCCACCGCGCCAGGCCAACCTAGATTTTCTTTAAACTAATTCTCTTAAAGTATGAGCTTGGTGACTAAATTTTTTACTTTTCCTGTACTTCCCTAAAATGGGACTAAAGGCAAATGGAATGAAAGAAACATATTTCCAATCTTCTGAGTCTCAGATGAAGGTTGGCAAATAACTAGGTAGTACACAATTCAACCAAAAAAATTACAAATGGTCAAGTCTATTATTTGTTTGCTTACTTTTTGTTTCTTGAGACAGGGTTTTGCTGGGGTGCAGAGACACAATCATAGCTCACTGTAACCTCAAAGTGATCCTCTTGTCTCAGCCTCCCAGGTAGCTGAGACTACAGGTGTGTGCCACCACACCTGGATAATTTATTTTTTTTAAGAGATGGGGTCTTGTTATATTGCCCAGGATGCTCTTGAACTCCTGGCCTTAAAAGATCCTTCTGCCTAGGCCTCCCAAAATGCTGGGATTACAGGTGTGAGCTACTGCACCCAGCCTATTTCAGTTTTGATACAAACTAAAATACATTTGTATCAAAGTCAAGTTACATTTACCCACTACTGGGCTTATTTTTATAAAACTGTTTTATTGAACTGGTATATATTGTCAACACACCAGTGAAGATCTTAAAATACCAAGGTCATTTGCAGAGTAACTATGTGCTTCAACATGACTATCAAGATTGAGAGAAATTTAGGTTCAAAAAAAGTAGAGTGTAATCTGCATATGTATGATATTTGTCTTTATAGATATATATATATATATATTTTTTTTTTTTTTTGAGACAGAGTCTCGCTTTGTTGCCCAGGCTAGAGTGAGTGCCGTGGCGTCAGCCTAGCTCACAGCAACCTCAAACTCCTGGGCTCAAGTGATCCTCCTGCCTCAGCCTCCCGAGTAGCTGGGACTACAGGCATGTGCCACCATGCCCGGCTAATTTTTTATATATATATCAGTTGGCCAATTAATTTCTTTCTATTTATAGTAGAGACGGGGTCTCGCTCTTGCTCAGGCTGG